GGTTAAAGCGTGGAAAAATTATAAAATATATATATATATATATATATATATAATGAAAAAATATACATATATATGTATCATATGCCTGCAAAATGAAATATATGTAAAAGGGAAACTAACTTACATTTAATTCTAACGATGTTTTTGTTAGATATTCTTAAAGGTCCCGAACTCAATAGCATTTTTACTTCAAATTTGTTTTGCGTAAATGCAGAGTAATGCGCATATAGACACGTATTCGAGGAAAAAATAAACGGTTTATTCCATTTACCTTGAATTTCGAAAAAATCCATTTTTACATTTCGTTTAACCTTGACCCGCACAATGGAGAATCTTCTCTGTAAAGGATCATTCAATATTCTAGAACGAAGTGCTAAATGGGTCGAATTTCCGTCGATAAAGAATGTTTTTTTCACTGCTAAGGTTTCTTCTGCCAAGGTTGGGAGAAAAAGTAAAAGTGACAAAGGGGAGAAAGTGACTACCTGTTGCTTCACGAATTGGAGCTTTTTATAGGTTTATTGCTTTCTGGATTGTATGTGAGGAGCATCAAATGTTTGTTATGAAATATGACCTTCCTGAATTGTTGAGCTGTAAAAGTGATAGTAATTCCTTGTTTTAATGAGTATATAATTATCAATTATTTTTATTATAGTACAGTAAGTAGCGCAAAAAACTAATTAAAACTTTTGATCTAGCAATCGGATTTTCCCGAACTTATGTGCTGTCTAATTGATTTGAGGATTTGACCTTAATTGAACTAATTATTTTCTGCAGATGATATTTTAAGTTAGCGAAACAGACACGAAAACATATTCTCTCTTTTAAAAGCTATTTCTCTCAGAAAAAATATATATTATTGAACTTTATTTTTGAAGTATTTTGATTTTTGACTCTCAAACTGTTGAAGATAGAATTCATTACAGTATAGTGCATTAAATAAGGCTAGATATAAAGGAAAATTTACTTTATTTTAATATCGTGCAAAATTATTTTGAACAGTTCTAGAATTAATTTATATCAAGCATTTAATATAAATATTTTTATTTCAATGCTAGGAGTAGTACAAAGCTTCAAGCGACACATTTAAAGCCGCGGTAGCACATGGGATAGAGGGTTCGTCTCAAAATGAGATGACCCAGGTTCGAATCCTAGCGGTGGCTGCTTGATATGATGTCTGCTTCCGGTTCGCTTCAACCACAATGCCGACGTAAAATATCATCAGTGGTAGACATCATGGGTTGCGATCACTTAGCCATCGGGATACTTTTCGTGATGTTTTCCCTTATGTAACGCAAACCCATGTTAGTAATTTTAAGAAGTCATCCACGAAGGCTAATCTGTCCCAATACTTGATCCAGGAGTTTCATTGTCTTCTGGGTTGGGATCAAAACTACAAGATTACAGAGTTGAACATTGACTTAATTTTAGAAACTTTGTCGTAAACTTTGAATAAGGTCGGCTGCTCATCTCGGGTTACATAAAAAAGGGAGTTTCCTTGTCTTCTGGGTTGGGATCAAAGCTAACAGAGTTGAACATAGACTTAAACTTAGAAACTTAGTCGTAAACTTAGAATTAGGTCGGCAGCTCATCTCGGGGTATATAAAAAAGGGAGTTTCCTTGTCTTCTGGGTTGGGATCAAAACTACAAGGTTACTGAGTTGAACATTGATTTAAACTTAGAAAATTAGTCGTAAACTTAGAATTAGGTCGGCTGCTCATCTCGGGTTATATAAAAAGGGGAGTTTCCTTGTCTTCTGTATTGGGATCAAAACTACAAGATTACAGAGTTGAACATAGACTTAAACTTAGAAACTTAGTCGTTAACTTAAAATAAGGTTGGCTGCTCATCTCGGGTTATATAAAAAAAGGGAGTGTCCTTGTCTTCTGTATCGGGATCAAAACTACAAGGTTACAGAGTTGAATATTGACTCAAACTTAAAAACTTAGTAGTAAACTTAGATTAAGGTCGGCTGCTCATCACGGGTTATATAAAAAATGACACACTTTGTAGTTTACATATGATACAGACAAAAAGTATTTTGATTTCATCATAATAGAGAACGGCGTTCAAAATCATCCAAGAACTAATATTTGATAATGCAATTTTGCATCACGATAGTTTGTATAGCGTGTTAATATATTAATTACTTACTGACTATTTTTGAAATTACATATAATCGTAAACTTTATTTCGTTATGCTGGCCAGTTGGTTCACCATCACGAATTCTTCGCTTTGTAACTCCACGCTGACCCTTCTGCAAATCTGTATTCGTTACAATAAGTATTCATGACGGTAAGTTCTTCATTAATTTCATTAAAAAGGTTAAAAACGGAACTGAAACAACTAAAAACTAAATATTTTTCATTGACTTCATTAAAGGGGAAAAAAACGTGCTTCAACGTACGTGATTTCGTAAGTTTCAAGGATTATAATTTCTTCTTTATTTTCAATGAGCAAGTCAGGTGTCATCCAATTGAGCATTGGCATTTTCGAAAAGCAGAGAAATAGAAAAGTTTCGTATAATTTTTTACTTACGTTTGTTGTTTCATTTAATCTGACTGTTGTTTGAGACATATCGATGAATTGATGAGTGTATCCAACAGGTCCAGAAATCGGAGTAACCGCCGATTCAAACAATTCCTGTAATCATTTAAATGTTGCTTTAATATAAATAAATAAAAACAGTGTAAATATTTCGAGTACTCTGTAGTAATTCTTGTCAAAAATGGAGTAAAAAGTTTTACACAACAGGGGTCGTAAATTTATATCGATTTTTAAAAATTGAGGTATTATTTACACGAATTGATTTGATATAAGAAAATAAAAAGTTCATGATCTTGATATTTTAAAGTGAAAAGAAATGACTCTGTTAGGGTAACACAAGATTTAATTTATGTATTTACTTGCTTGTATTAAAATTAATAGATTAACTGAATTGCTATAAATTGATATCGAAATATTTAAAAGTTATCAAATCATTAATCACTGTTTTCAAAACGATAAAGTTACACATATATGAAGTCATTAAATTAAACATAATATGAAATTATAAAATTATCCATATAACTGACAGCTTTCAAGCCTTTCTTGTATCAATTTAGTTACAGATCAATAAATCACACGCGAAATTTAAATAAATATAAATTAATAGCTGAATACCTATTCTTCGTACGGTATGAAAAAAATCAGTAAATCAGGACTGAACAATACTACAAAATCATGCACAAATTTGTAGGATAAATACTGACAGAAAAAAGCTAAATTAATTCCAATGTTTTATTTATTTATTATTTGTTGCTCGTCCTGATGGCCTTACGTTATTAGATTATGCAAAATAGTATTTAGTAGTATATCCCATCAAAATAAAGATTAACTGTATTCAGTATCATCTGGCATAATACTGTTGCTTGTGACATTTGAAATTTACCACAATCAAAAAACTTCCATCTGTATTCATATCTTCGAAGGACCATAAAAAAACCTATTTCCTCAGTATGTATCATATATTGTACAGTACTGGTGCAGCTATGATAGACACCAAATTTACTCATAAAATACTTAGTACCTATATAAGAGCATATTTGGTACCCATTAAAATCACACCAATTACCATAACAGTATAGGGCAAACTGCTAAATTAATGCATTATTGGGTGGCAATAATAGTATGGCGACTTTTTACTGTTTCTCATAACAAATAAGTACATTTTCTCAATTAATTTCATTTTTTAGTACATAGCTGATTTTTTTATATTTTACTAGTTACTATTGTTACTAGTACCTATTATCAAAATTAATTAAGTATTATTGATATTAATAGTGGTTTGTGCATTTTTTTAAGCTCTCTTTAACGAATTAGCATCATATATCTGGACTTTGCTTCTTAGTACATAGCTTTTTATTTGACTTCAATTAGTAAATATTTCCAAAATTAATATTCATTGGCTTAAATAATTATGGCGTTTGTTATGTTTATCCTCAACGTAGTAGCATTTCTATATTAATTTTGCTTTTCAGTACAAAACTGTTTTTTAATTTAAATTACAACTGATTTCAAATTATTTAATTTCATAGTAACACGTATTAAAAGCATAACTAATACATTAAACAAAATAAACACGAAATTTCAGATAATCTCAGATCAGATTGGAATAATAATTTGGAGACGTAGTCCACCTATGCTACCACGATCAAGTTGATCAACCATATAATCTGACGTAACAAAATAAAAAATAATTACGCATTCTGGAATGTACAACAAACAACTTGTTTAATTAGAGCTACAAGCCAGTAAGCATCACGGATGTTATCTTTAAAATATTTGACGAAACTGAATCATTGATAGTTTATTTTAAAACAATGGGTTACGGTTAACCAATGAGAAAATTCTGCGTCTTAAATGTCTCTGAATTAATGCTATTTTCAAAAAATATTAAAAATCGGACTTAGCAATTTGTTTGCATTGCATTCATTTAACTTTACAAATCTTCTGTTAAATTTTTGCACGAAAGTGAGGAGAAAAATCATGAAACACTAAAAAAGTGTGCACTACTTGCTTTTGAACAAAATAGAATCTAAAAAGAATCCCCACTTTTTGTACGTAAAATGTCGCACAGCAATGTGAAAAATGTTAATTATAAAATTTTTATTAATACGCATAAATTTCCAGAAATTGTGAACTAAAAGTTTATTTTCACTAGACCATTAAACAACATCACCTTTTAAAATGTTTTGTGGAAAACATCACTTACCAAAGCTTTTTCGTATTGCTTTTGTCCTATGATTTCTGTGCTTTCAAACATGTCTTTACCAGGACCGAACGCTATACATTTCTCATTCTGAAAAAGGTAATTCATTACTCGAAATTTAGAAACTCTTTAAAAAGAAAATTTTAAAAATATTTATTGATAATTCACCTGTAATGATAGGAAAATTATATTTAAAACAGGTTATAGTATTTTATTCAGTTTTTGTCAGTAAGGTATGATTTGTGAGCTTTCAAACATATTAACCAGGATCAAGCGACTTTAAACGAAACTAATTTATAAGAACAAAAAGGGCATCACATTTAAAGCAGGTTTTATGTATTTTTACAGGCCAGCTTTATCAAATTTATTAAATAATATTCTTATTTTATTTAATAATGCAAATTTATTCCATCAAACTATTTGCAAGAAAAATTATTATTCTGCCTTAATACTCCATCATCCTTTTTTTCAATCATAAATAATCTTCGACTGTCTAAGATAGGATTTGCGCTCTTAATCTCTTCCTAGGGGTAATTTGGTCTAGACGTAAAATTTTTGGAGTCTAGTTATATTTTATTACCGGACATTTGCCTAAGGTAGAATACTTCCCATTATATTTAGTATTTTTAATATTAATTTACTGAACTTAAGGCTACAGAGGACACCCAAATCAAGAAGTATTCACTAAAATTAAATTATTTTGTATATAACAAAAATAGGCAAACACTTATATACTAATTCTATGTAATAAATCTTTGTTTTAGTAGCAAATGTTTTGGAAGGCTAAATTGTTGACCCAATTTGAAATATAATACTTGAAACTTTTAGAAATGTTCTTTTTTTATTCATGAATATTTGCATCAGCAAAAATGAGCGTAGGAAGTTAAAATCTTTTTTTTTTCCTTTTTTTAATACCACTACTAATTTTAAAAGCACCTCTTATATAAATATCGCTATACTATAGCGATGAATCGAATGATTTACTAACATACAACATTTCTGGTGTTTTGATCTAAGTTAAATCAGTTCTTCTAAGTTAGTTAGTACTGGAATTTTGATCTATGTTAAATAAGTTAAACTTTTTTTGTTTTTTTACATAAGCAAAACTATATTGTATAACATTATGCATTCCACCTTATAGCATCATTTCAAGATAAAGAGACCAAGGCCTATCTGGCCCAAGTCCCACCGACAAATAGAAAAATATGATTTCGAAATTGCTGATATTAAAGCTAGAAATAAGTTATTGAGTTCCTCTCCTCATTTGGTTGATCCGTATTTGGAATGATTAAAAGTGACAATGGTTAATAACGATATAAGCATGTGTATTCACTTAAAAAAAAAAACGCGTCTTGAACAAAGTAGTATTCCTTCTTAATCAAAAAATTGTGTGCACGAGCTGATACAAGGAATATATTCAACGAGTCTATAGTGTTTCTAAGTTTTTTTTCGAATGGCAGGCACTGAACTTTATTCGTTTCGCCTTAGAAGATACCAGAGGTGTTACTCATTTCGCGTTACCAAGTGAGCACCTGTGAACCAAAGTCACGGAGGCGAGCAACATTNATTTTAATTCTGCTAATTTGAAAAAAAGCTTTGCTCAAAACTAGTTGGCTCTAAACCAATGTCTAGCATTTTAAGAATACTATTTATATATATTTTTTTTACTGAAAATGCATATAATTAATTTTATTTATCTGAATCCTCAAATTTAAAATTAGTATAAAGACATTTTTTAAGCAGTGCATTTATTTATTTTTAATCTAATATTATTTTTCATGGTTTTTAAATCATTAATTATAGTATTTTACAAGTTATTGAGTATTTTAAGACATATGTAAAAGTGTTTTACTTCGCCATTGCATGTGCTGGTGTCCTGATCACATGGCAATCCTGTATCTATACATTTAGGACCATTCGTATTTGGCGAAACATCACCCTCGTTTGCTTGAGCAAATGCCGCTACAAATGGACCCTAGAAATGTAATATCGAAGATGAAATATTTTATGAATTATCTTTAAAAAGAAATCAGTTATTATTTTATCTAGTTATGACAGTTAAAGGGGTATTTTTTCATGCATAGCTTATTTAACAGCAAGAACACGTGACGATTGAACATTCTAATTTATAAATGAAGTATTAAGAATGACAGTAAATAACGTTGCATATGTATATATATTTTTAATAATTATTAGTGTTGAGAATACGTCATTAACTAGTAATTCACATTTTTTTTAATTTTAGTGAAAATAATTGGAAATTGAAAATAAAATAACAAAATAACAGATCTAAAATATCAACAACCAAAAATGTGATAACGTACCAAACAAATGGTCATTTTTGAAAAAATTATACTTTTATTACTCCAAAAAATATTTAAAGGATCATTATTAAAAGTTGACTGGTTCAGATTTTTAAAAAAATACTTATTTAATTTTCAAAACTTCGAATAATATTATAATATATGGTTTCGAATCAAAGCAATTAAAAGTGTTATGACATACAAATTTTGAAGCAATTTAAATTTCGAATCATGCAGTCTATAAATCAATATATTCATTAAAGCCAATAGATAAAAAAAAACTTTGATTCCTATTTCGAGTTTTATATACTGAAAAGTTAGATTACAAAAGATTCAAAAGAATTAAACGCTTTGAAAATTGCCCTCATTTACAGGTTATGCAGTTTTGATGTAAATACCAAATGTTGTGCAAGTAAGCTTTGGTTTTACTCTCAAAACTTTTTTCAATGACGTGCTTATTAGTAGTCGATTTTGGTTCATTCTCCATTATACATTAAGACGTAATAATAATATAAAGACATAATATTATATTATAAAGACATAAGTACTGTTCCATAACGAAATGAAGGCTTGAAATTTGGTGAGCAAAACCTTTAAGATGATACGAGTATCTACACAAGGACCTATGGTCTTTTTTTATGACATATGGTCTTCTTTTAGTGTGGCCTGAAGTGGGAAAACAATAGAGTTCAGTATTTAGGGTGATGATTAACTAAAGAACTAAGGTCTTTTTGATGATGATTAACTAAAAAAATTCTTCCAATGCGAGAAGATGAAAAAGGTGTTTGGTTTATTTGTTCAGAAAAAACAGCTATTTTCAAAATTCATGTTTTGTAAATGAATTTTAAAGAAGTCGAGACTTACTAAGCTAGGAGTTATTAAAACTTGGACTCGTTCATGACAATTATTTCTAAAGCGGTTGCTTCGATTTGCTTTATAGCCATTTTCTTCAATTTGGTGGTAGTATTGTATCGTCAACTGGAGTTACTTTTACTCATAACTTACTCATGACTATACTAATTCTTATGAATATATATGATAGAAATGGAGAAAACCCTTTAAATTTGATAAAAGATATCTGAACTTACAATCAGAAGATTTTCTGAAAGGAGTTTCTCGGAAAAACATTTGTGGCGATAATAGTTATTATGACTTTCACATCAAGAAGGAATTTTTACAGAGTTCGCTTTTCCAGAGAAGTTATATGAAACAGCATTTTTCTGGCAGATGTTGCTTCCAAAACTCCACCTTTTTTTTTAAAGATTTCTCAAGATTTTTTCAAATAGCCTGGTTCAAATAACAAAAATACTGCATGTTTTCTTTTTTTGCCGTTATTTCTGCCAATTAATTTTAATAAAACTTTTCAAAACTGATGCAAAAATTTAACCTAAGTCTAGTACATACAAGCAGAATTTCTAAAAACATTAAGAGTATTTTTAAAAAAATTCTACTGCTCTCAAATTCATTTTGGTAGTTTTACACACAAATCATTCTGGATGTTTACTACGAGAGAAAATTATGAAAATACATTTAAAGAACATAAATCAACTATATAAGCCCTTCCACAAGCCTTAAAATTATTTTCTTCTTAATCCGTATATTGGTACGCGGGTTTTTACTATAAGTTTTAAACTGGGTAGAGTAACTCCAGTTGACAGAATTATGGATTACCTGGATTATACTTTTTTCGGTTATTTACCCTGGATTTTTATTTCAAATTTTGGTACTTGAGAAGTATTATTAAATTAGTCTTCTTCTTTTGAATTTCTATTAAAAGTTAGTACAGTATCTTAAAAAACATTCGTGGGATTATCAAGCCATGCTATGGTATACAGCAAGACGTTTACAGATGGCAATGACTATGAGACTGCCACTTAAATCAGTTAAATTTTAAGCAATGTTAGACCAAAACTTAGAAAAGTCGATTTTCTAGATAATTCGAGAATGCTTTTCACTCCCAAACATTTAATCTTATTTTATAAATTGATTATTTTTACAAAAAATGACAGTTCTTTGTCAAATTTCCAGGTAAAATGGTAATTTTCCAAAGGAACTTATCCTATATCTCTTTCACATTTTAAGCTGTCGCTTTACTTCTTTCTCAAGTAAAATTTAAAAACAAAGTTTAAAAAAATTATAAACAAGTCGCTTCCTTTATTTTCCTGATTCATCAATAATAAAAAGTTATTTTAATTAATACTTTGGATAATTTCTTGGACAAGAATTTATCTCCAATGACAAAACTATTAAATTAATAAGAGTTTGAGACCTAAAAAGGAAAAATTATTTTTCCTATTCACTTAAGACATTCCTTTTTCATATTCACTTAAGACAAATACTGGCAATCAATTTGAAAAGAAATGGAAGGTAATTTGATATACTCTATGTTTTTTATTTTAGTTCTAACAAAAATAAAATTGTATTGTTTTAAGTCAGTTGAGAAGCACAGAATTTAAAATGTAAGTATTTTATTATTTATTTCATTTTAGCCTTGCATTTGTTAGTTTAAATTTGATCTAGAGGAGTCAAAATTTAGATTGTTAATAACATTTTTTTGCATGATTTAAAAATCAATGGTAATTTGCTTTGTTATCAGGCAGAAATCTATAGTTGAAATTTGAGCACTCTAGATAGTATTAGCGACTGAAATATTGATTATAAATAAATCAAATAATAAATAAATAAATAAATTCTTAAATAAATAAATTCTTTTTCCCGCTCAAATGGAAATGAATTTTGCTGGCTTACTCCATAAAACATTACTTATTTGTCACCCAGAACTTGATTTGTCACCCAGAACCAGCTTGATACCGTACACTCTATGTTCAAATAATTTTTTATTAAAATTTTTAAAATCGCCTTAATGAATTAGAACATTCAGAACCAGCTTGATACCGTACACTCTATGTTTAAATAATTTTTTATAAAAAGTTTTAAAATCGCCTTAATGAATTCGAACATTAAGAACATCCAGCTTGATACCGTACACTCTATGTTTAAATAATTTTTTATAAAAAGTTTTAAAATCGCCTTAATGAATTAGAACATTCAGAACCAGCTTGATACCGCACACTCTATGTTCAAATAATTTTTTATTAAAAGTTTTAAAATCGCCTTAATGAATTAGAACATTAAGAACATTCAGAACCAGCCTGATACCGTACACTCTATGTTGAAATAATTTTTTATTAAAAGTTTTAAAATCGCCTAAATGAATTAGAACATCCAGAACCTGCTTGATGCCGTACATTCTATGTTTAAATATTTTTTAAAACCAGTTTTGAAATCGCTTTAATGAATTAGAACTGCTTCAATGATGGTAAATCAAAATCTCTCAGATTTATATAATCTTATTCACTTAACAAAACAGTGAAGGTCAAATGAAACAGAACTATTATTTTGATAAGAAGTTTTTTTATGATTCTTAAAATTTATGTGTCCCACTTACTTTTCCAAGAAGAGCGTTTTGATTCATTTTCTTCTCAAAAAGCAAAGATGCATAACCCTTATTGTCACTACTAATCAAATCATTTGTGTTGTTCATACTGGTACAATGAACGGCGAACCAGCTGCAAAATAAAAGATCAAAAATCGAATCAATTATCTGTCAATTAATGCACCAATTATTTCCTCTTTAATCTTGATCAAGAATCACCTGATCGACATTAAATCTCATGTTAAAGAAATGCCATTTTATTTCTTCAATTGCCTTATTAAAAATAAAGAGTTAGTTCAATCATTTTAAAGCTCGTATTTATTATATCGTCAATAAAAACAGCAAAATTAAATTTAAAATTCTTATAAATCGTAAATTTGTCAAATTTAAATGTTAAAACTTTTAATAAATTTAATAATAAAATTTAGCATGGTTTTTCCGGTAAATAGTGTACTATATTATTATAAAAACTCGAAATTTTAACTAAATATTATTATTTTAAAAATGAATTTTTAACGAAATTGTATTAAGAAAATTTAAGAAAATATTTTTATATAATATTTTTAAGAACATAAATTAGTTATGAAAAATATTATTTAAATGCTAAAAATCATATTTTTCCTGGAATTATTAATAAAAAACATGCTTTGTTTACATTCAGATCAACGAAGTGGCTTTTACGAGGAATTTATTTACGTTTCAGTTTTATAATCGGTTAACAGTTAACTTAGCTACGTCACAAAATGAAAATTTGACTAGTTTTTCTTTTTTCATATGTCTTAATTTGAATATAATAAGTAAACCTGAATGACGGATAGACTAAATAAACTGATTTCCTGTCCCTGCAAAAAGGAAAAATTGATCGGCTGCAATCAGACCTTCACATTATCATTGCAAGACATTTACGTTATTCTTTTAAAGTATCATCGCCATCATTTGGTACAAATAAATTGAACAATTTCGTAACATTAATTGTAAGATACTAGTTCAACTATAAATTAAAAATACTTTATCCTAATTTGGTTGACATATTTCTGCAACAGCATGCCTACTATTCGTTTAAACGGAATATATGGTTTCTAAACTTAGATGGTAAAAAAGAACGATAACTCCAGGAGAGGCTGTTGTTGTGGGCAAACTTTTGCAACATCATAGCTATCGATTAGCTGAAAGAAAATGTGTGGCTCTTATGTCACATGGAAAGAAAGAAACTTAAAATTTCAGAAGATACTGGATGCAATTAAAATATTATTTTTGGAAAATCGAAGAAAACCTGCAGTTCAGCTAGTTTAAAGCGGAAAATCCTAATTCTGTTGTGAAAAAATATCATGCGAAAAAGTTCGATGTTTAGACCTAGCAAAAAAATCTAAACTGTTCAACACTGTAAATAATTCTGAATCAAATTCCGGTAAAAAGGTGCAGGTACTTACGGTAGGTAAAGGAATGGTGAAATGGATTTCATCGTCAAATCCAAGTTTACCTGAACATGTTAATGAACAAAAAATCTGATAAACCGTAATTTTTACAGTAACAATTACCGTAAAACCAATGAGCCACTCTAATTAAATAAATATTACTGTACTATTTACGGTATAATATATTACGGTAAAAATGACCGATGATGCACCCAAAGTGTCGTAATTTTATACCATAATTTACTTTACCACTTTATACCGTAATTTGATTTGGAATTGTTTTGGTCAACTAATTTGTATTAGAGATAACAATTTTTGTCAAACTAATTCAGATAGCAAAACTGGGAAAAATGGAATATAATGATAGATAAAAGTTCTTACTTGATCATGCCTATGGGTTTTCGATTAACGTCTGTGAATTTTAAAAGAGTCATCTTTGTATCAATGTTTGAGTCATACCTAGAAAACAAGTTTTGTAAAAAAATCATAATTCATTTTAAAAAATAGAATACAATTAAAATAAAAAAAAATTTTAACTACTAAAAGGATTATTAACAAGAGAGAATTATGATAGAAGGAGAAATTTCTACTTGGTCAAGTTTATGGTGGCTTATCAACTATGTGGGAATTTTAATATTATCGGTGAAAATTAAAGAACCTTATCAAACTTTACTCAATCATCTAACAGCGGAAAGGTTGGTAAAAGATTTCTGAAAAGGGAATTCTTTGACAAAATTTCCCTACAAACTCACGTTAAACGTTATTTCCAAAATGTGAAAATTTTACAGACTTGAAAACGGGTTTGGTTAGATTGTAAATTAAAAACCATTTTTTATTCGACGTAAAAAAATATATTGTAAGTAAATAAAGTAACAAAGCATATTTATATCTAACGTTGATAAATGGCTTATAAAATAAATAACTTTAACACTACGCTTGACTACTTTTTTAAGCAATTTAATGATTTAGACGATACATAAATGTTACATTTTGCCTAAGTCTTAAATTTTTCCTAGTATCGTTGAACCCTAAACAATAAAAACTTAACGATAAATTTCAATATTATAAAATAATTAAAAGATATAGAAGTTAATAAATAGCTTTAATTAAACACAGAGTTAGCAAATTTTTTTACGAAACTTATGTCAATAATAACTATTTTTAGTCAAAGTGGATATTTTATTTCCTCGTTTAAACCTTACCTTCAAACACTTAACTCAATTCTGACTTTATCAATATGCTCAGAAATCAATAAATCGATCGGAATATATTTCAAAATTGCTCCACAAAATATATAAATTTTTTAATCAAATAGCGATTACATATGCACTGAGGAGCTCTCCCCCCCCCCTCTGCCCAATACCACATGGTGCTCTCACCAGCGCGTGGAAGTGCCTGATTGACCAATTTTTGACTGTATTCTGGAAGCAATTCACACCGAGAATTCTGCAGGCATTCCATAAATCCATAAGAATTCGTGGTGGAGCTAGAGATATCTTCTGAACAGCATATTGCACATGCTCAATAATGTTCATGCCTGGAGATTTGTTAAAAATACGAATGGAAGTGTCAAGAATCAGAAGAGTATTCTTAGAACTCTTTGGTATGTGGGATGTCGCATTATCCTGATGGAATTTCACAATGAGAATGATTGGGGTCAGACAGAATGCTTAAATATCTGTAACTCGTCGGTCTCGTCTAGACACATCAGGGATCCCATATCATGCCAACTGCAAGCGCCCTATATCATGACAACAAAGTTTCTAGCAGCTTTAAGAGTTCCTTAGTGAAAAGCAGGGTACATGGATTCAAAAGGGTCTCTAAACATTCATATTCATCCCTCTGTCTCATACAGTTGGGAACGAGGTTCGTCAGACCAGGATGCGAGTTTCCAGTCGCCAGCAGTCCACATGTGGCATAAGGTCTTGCGATATCAAGTCAAAAGCGATAAAAGAGTGGCTCATTGGCTTCGAAAACCCATATAAGGCTGACACTTGTCGATGTCCCAGTATTGAAATGTTTGGCTATTTGAGGAAGAGTCACGTGTCTTTCAAGTTAAATCTCGTCACTCGTCATGGGTCCTGTTCTTTCAGGGACTTTTTCTGGCTGCAGTTTTGTCGGATATTCAATGTTTCACCGGGACATCTATGTTCAAGGTGCAGTCATGGTACATTTATGATGGAACTGGTCGTACGCGAAAATCCCAATTTCATTGCTACCTCGGATGTTTCATCTCTCCTCCGTCGACTGAAATACCCTGTTCAAATGTACTTAAATCTTGATTACCTGCTATTGCAGCAGAACGAACTAATCAAACAACTTTGCCAGATACTTGTTGAATAAGAATGGAATTGTCGACGGCATCGTAATATTTTTATTGGTATTATACCACTGTTTTCCCGACTCTTTCATTGTGTATAATATGCATAAATTGAGAAAAGGAATTGTTCTAGAGGATGTCAACCGAAACGTTATTCTGTATCTTTGACATTGATGATAAAGATTGTACAGAATACGATGAGAGAAACCTCGGAATGTAACTGGACCAGTTTTATTAGTGTTTGTCGCCCAACATCGTTTAACTTGAAACGGGACACCTTAACTATTATTATATTTTAGTTGCATGTTAAATCAAAAAAAGAAAAAAAAAAGAAAATTCATGTTAGAATCTGGCAAATAAAATAACTTAGTAGTAAGAAAGGTGAATATATGTCTTACATGGCTCTTTCTTCTTCTGGGTTGTTTAAATAGGAAGTTGGACTTCTGTTAATACTGGCATTGTAAAGATGTCCTTCATTGTGAAAAATGTATCCTGGTTGCATGTTTTTGTGCGCATTTTCAACACTCTATAACAACAACACAAGAGTAAGAAAATACTTAAAACATTCAAATAAGGAAGAGTTAACTTCTTTATTTGGAGTGCGTATCAATAAAGTTAAAACAACATGAAAAAGCTTAGATAAAATTTTACAATCATTTAAACACTACAATGAAACACTTCAAAGGTGCTCGGAAACGATCATACGTCTGTTGTAATGCATTATAATTTATGTAATGCGCTATAATTTATGCATGTTTACGCAGTTATAACTTTATTGTAATTAGAACATTTATTTTACTTTATAGCCGTCATTGAACAGGCGACCCGATTTCGGATTTACGATTGCTAATGTTCTATTCCGCAGCCTTGTATTTTTGAGCCCTATCCAGAAAACAAGGGAACTTCTGGATAAAGTATTGAGTGAAATTTGCCTTTCGTGGTGGACTTTTTGATGGTACTAACCCATATTTGCGTTACATGGAGGGAAAACCACGAAAACCACTTATGTTTAACCTGACATCAAGGGGACTCTAATCCATGAACCTTCTATCACAGAGGATATTGTACGTCAGCATTGTGGTCAGTGCGAGCCAGGTGCGGAATTTGTATCAACCAGCCATCGCTGGGATTCTAACCCGGTTTACCTTATTGGAAGGCGACTGCTCTATCCCCAGAGCCACCACGACTAAGAACATTTATTCATAATAAATCGAAGTTTCTTCGTAATAACTTTTAAAGGTACTTTATAAAATTTAAAAAAAGGACTCCGTGGTGTAGGGTGTGCTAAATGAAAGTTGATATCCCGTGTAACTTTTCATAAAAAAATTGATTTGAAATAGACACTTCAAACATACTATTCACTTTCACACTGGTACTAACTATGAATTAAATATTCCCCAGAGAAAGCATTTTCTCCCTCACTCTCTACAGAATCGAACCCCAATCTCTTTGTTTTCCACTCCGAATCTCTAACTTAATAACAGTGTGTAAATCATTCGTTATTTTCCGTTACTATGACGATCATTCATTTCCATGACTAATTCAAAATCGTCAGGTATAGGAAATTGTTGTTTGACACTGAGTCAAATTTGGAAAAACTATTTTCCCACTGACAGCATTACATAAAGAAAAGTTATGTATATAAATTTAGATTAAAAAAAATTATAAAAAGAAAACAAATACGAACCTCTTCTCTCAAAAATATGCTTTCGAATTCTATTGGAATTAAGGGCTAATTTAATTTAATTTGCTTCGTTACCATCTCTCAAAAAGTAAGATTTAAAGCCTATGCTCTTCTGTAACCATAACGATTGTGAAGACTATATTTAGCATTCAGTAATTTCGAAGTAAGCTTAACTATACCTAATGAGCTTAACCGTAAGACGTACAATTACCATATTATTATATCTCTATTCTTATGCGAAGCTCTCTGTTACAGTCTTAAGGTTTTGTTTACTTCGAAAAGATGTTTAATGATTCATTTCCAAATAGATTACACTGGAAAACAATTTTTTTTCTCTGCTGCATGAGATTTTCTAGAAGATCTCTAATACTTTCGTACCACTGATTTCAATAATGCAATCGGTTTATCATTTCAAGCAACAGCTTTTTAATGATATTTTAAATCTATATTTCGCAGAGGTATACAAGTTTAATAAGGTTATATAAGACATAGGGTCGCGGGAATATTGCTACAAACTTCTAGAGAAATTGGGTACATCATCAAGATTAAAATTGTATATGAACCCACGGCAGGAAATATCATCATACGTAGCTAGGGGTGCTTTACTATTATGAACTGTTCCTTCGTGTTCTTTTGAACAGTTCATTATAGATAAGAGCCCCGACTTGCTTACGATGGCATTTTCGGGCATGGGTTCCTCTTCAATTTTAATGCTAATGATGTGTACTAACTCCCCGAGACGTTTGTCGCAGCCTTTATGCGACCCCTTGTTAAATATAAAGTTTTTATAATTATATATTTCGATAAAAATAAACTAATAATATCATTTAAAAAAATGTGCAGCCTTTAAGAGCGAAAATTATTTGAAATCCCTACGCCCGAATCAAGTACTTGTATGAAAGCTACAAAAAATTTGTCCTCGGTGTCATTTAAGATTAATGCAAAAGGTTTATCTAAGAATTGCCTTGCACATTTCTAGTTTTTTAGTTATTTTTAGTTTTTATTCTTTTAAAATTCCATAAGCTGAGTGGACACAGTTTTTTCTCCAAGAGCACATTGTTTATTGACTTTATGAAACTCGCAAAAATTATTGCTAAAAAGGTCGAAGCTGTATTGTAAATAACGTAATATGTAAATACTAGACTTGCTAATTTGGGTGATAAGTGTTTTAGTGGCGTTCAAAACGTCATTTAGCATGCCAGTTGGCTGTTAAAAGAAATGGAGAAGCACGAACACAACCTAAAAATATCTACCTTCAGCATTATTCCGAAATGATACGAAAAATTGATTCCGGCATAATTAATGAATAACAACTTAAGAAAATATCGGCAATAAATGTGCGAATTTTTAATTTTTTTAATAGAAGTTTGTAGCTCTTTGAAAAAAGGTAAATTATTTAATGAAAAACACCACTCTAAACGTTTGTTTGCTTTTTATTTAAAAAATCTGATTTTACAAAATGTGACGACACGTTTGAATACTTATTGAAAACTTACGTAACAGCCCGAAATATTGCCCATTTTATTCTAAACTTCTTATTTTCTGTTGCGAATATTTAATACGATATTTAATGTAGCAGCGGAACAATCTTCGTCATAACGTCATATCTCACGCATCTTATAAACATATGTGGGAATTATGCCTAAGGTGACATTTCTGATGAAAGTTTTCGATTCCAACTAAACCCATTTCATTATACAATGTAAGAAATTTTTCACCTGAAAATTTACTAATAGAAATCATTTAGTTGTGCATAATTACAAATAATGAAATTTACATCGGCAAGTTTCTGTGAAAATACAGAAACGTATTAACCTGATCAGACACAGAACTAACTGAACGGGAAATTGAACCATGGCCGAAGCCGGGTAAGCAAAGACTTTAACCACCGCACGCATAAGTAACTTGTTGCTAATGAAATAAATAAAATTTCATTGAAATACCCGAAAACTCCTTTGCGCAGGCTGGAATGTAAAAGCTGGAATTTTCCGTAATTCTGTTTACTTGCGTATAAATAAGAATTTACGTAATTTTACAGAGATTCTCGTTTTTTTCCCTTTGTATTTTTACAGAAATATCTTACAGTGTGGTGAATATTCTGCGAGCTTTCATTTTAAAGAGTCACGAGTTTAATGAAAGGTATAACAATTATCCTTAAAGTATAGCTTTTTAAAATTCGCGTTAAAAATGAACTGAAAAAACTAGGTAGATTGGTTGAATTGAAAATTAGTAGTTGAGGGGAAAAAAAGCACTTTCAAACTCATAATAATTGTGGTGTTCCTTGAGAAAGGCAAATGCATTCCAACTCCTCCCGAAATGTAACTGGTTTTTGATAATTTTAATCCATTCGTTGCAGAATTCGGAACACGTTTCTAATTTTTTTTCACTCTGAAATATTTGATTGGGATAACTCATGTGCGTAGATTTTAATTAAAATTAGCTAGGATACTAAAAATGTATATTGTGAGCTGTCACTACCCAATATTCTATGATTTAAATTTTTCAATATATTTTCAAAGGCCCGGGATAACCGGATTGGTAGGACATTGAGCCCATTTCCAAGAGGTCGTGAGTCCGATCCCGCCGGCCGAAGACTCCTCGTGTAGTAAATGGTGATTGATACACGTTAAATCTGTCGAGTCACAAAGTCCTCCATGTTCCCATAACAAATCATACCTCGGTGGGTACTGATCCAGGAGTTTCATTGTCTTCTGGATAGGTTCAAAATTACAAGGCTAAGGCCGTAAACCCAAAAATTGAGTCGGCTGTTCAACGACGGTTATAAATTAAAAAATAAAATACATTTTCAAATAAGCTATACACATAGCTTGCTGATATTTAGCTCTCGATCGATGAAGACCAATATATTTGACATGAGAAACGTGTCATACAATTTATATCTACCAAATTTCCCATTCCGCAAATGATTATAGTTGCTATTCAGACATAACGACTTTTAATTCTAGGTAATAATGCAAAATATACCATAGAAAAAAGATTGACACTATCATAAGTTTCATACCTTTAAAATTCCATCAATCATGCAATCATACGTCTGCCTGATGAAACCTTGAGATGTGATTATGTACAGTGCGTATTGAAAAAATCCTCCCGGTCCCGAGTGAGTATGCGTACTGCTGATGCATACATTTTTATCAGTATACAAGTTTCCATACTTTTTTTGAAGAGCCTTAACAGCCTGGAATAAAATAAAATAATTAAAAGTCGCATTATATGTGTTTCAAAATGCTATCACTTAAAAAATTTATTTTAAAGAAAAACGAGAAAAACTACAATCATAAAATGTAATTAATTAATTATTCTTTATACACAAATATCAGATTAAACTGAAAAATATCCAGTGTGAATATATATATATATATATATATATATATNTAAATGAATAACTTAAATATTTCTCAATTTTTCATTTTCTACTGAATGTGTTATGAACTGATTTTGAAAACCAGCATCTCCAGTGAACGAAAAAAATATTAATGAATAGTTTATATGTTATATTATATATATTATATTATATAAGTTGGAATTTACCTCACTTTACATGTATAGTTTCCCATAGGAATCTTGGTATTTGGTACAGATTTATCTAGCTATGAAAACATAAAAAAGCCACGCATTTTGGATATCTCCAGGAATTATGAAAGAAAATTGGTTGGAAGAATATCCTTAAACTAATTGCACGTCATTCAAACGGGAAAATTCAGAAATCTTGGTTTGTTCAAAAACATGATGGCATTCATAATACAAAGAATTTTCGGGCATATATAAAGAGGCAACATAGAATGAAAGAAAATAGAAAATTTCACATAAAAATTAAAAGATTAAGAATTTGTGAGTTTTTCAATGTATTTTTTTCCCTTTTAATTTTTGTGATTTTTACAAAAGTGATTTATGATTTTCACTTTACGAAACTTTATTTTCACAGTACTGTTTTTTATTAATACAGTAATTGAAAACTCAATTTTCGCGAGTTTAACTGGTTTAATCGTGTGAGCTGATGACAAGATATCTTCAAAAGAACAAGAAAAACTATTAACATAAAATGTAATTAATTAATTTCTCGGTATACTTAAATGTCAGCTTAAATTGAATATTCCGTGTATGAACAGCGAAACAGTATATTTCAAAATTTTCATATTTCAAATTCTGTAGCAGAAAATCGGCTCTCGTAATTTTTTATAATCAACATTTACCTTATTTCATGTCCATCAAATCGTAATTTAAAATTCAGTGCAAGAAGAAAATATTTCGTTTTCATTTGGAACGTTTTAAAAAATAAATTAATTCAAAAATTCAGTGCCTAAATGACCTCCAGTGATAAAGCAACATCAGTTGCGAATCGCGGCTATTTTCTGCCATTCGGCAATTCTTGATGTGTCTTGTGATTTACAGATTATTCAACATCAATTCTGGAACAATAAATGTGCGTCTTATGATGGAGCAAGAACACGAGTCGGTGATGTTATCCCATTACGAAGGTCATTTTAATAGATAAAAACGAACTGCACTAATTAAATATTATTTCATTAACAAAGACATGAATTGATAATCAGTTTACGATCGCCGGTAATGTGCTTTATTCCGTGGTTGAAATCATAACTGAAGCCGTAATCGTAAATTAAAAATGCTATAAAAAAAGATGTATGATAAATTTATTGCAAATCCTCGGAACAGGAAGAGGTTGGAGTTGGTGGTGCTGAGTCATCTGATTACGGATGGGACTATAACGTAAACGTGATGCATTAAATACGCCGAAATTGAAACGTGGTTTGATTGACCTAGAAATTAAATACAAAATGTAAATTTGATGAGAATAATTGAAAAGAACACTTTTCATTGAAAGTCGTAGAATAAGTTCAGGTTAAACTTTTTTTACATACTATACTTTGTTGGTATGCAAAGAAATATTGTTTGAGTTATTTTGGTGGTTAACGTCATACTAGAGCAACACCAATGAACTACTGGGGACTGTCCGATACCAGAAGGCAATACTGGCATATGCGCACATTCCGTTAAAATAATTTAGTTTGGAGGGAGATGGTGGAAGTAATTAACCAGCCTCCGTATCCAGCTTGCTTACCCTTAAATGTGCTCGTATACACTAGGACATGATAGTGGAGCAAGTGAAGTCCTACTAGACATCTAGGCTTAAGCTCCGAGAATTGAATCCTAAAGAAGGTCATTGTAGACCAGCGTTTCCCAAACGTATGATTTTTGTGTACCCTTTCTAAATTTTTCGTAACGCTGTGTGCCACTAATAAAAAAATGAATGTACCTTTCTAAACGTATGTTAATTTTTCTTTTCTGGTACAAAGTTTTGTTAATATGTTTATTTGCATCAGTGAAAAGGATGATATTGTTTTAGCTGTGATAAAAAAATTGCACGTAAGTTAAAAATCACAACTGGCTGTTGACACCACTAATTATTAACTGTTAACTCTGCAAAAAATAGTCAATAGAAAAATACGTAATCGTAAATTTTCATGACCAGCTCTGTTTTAAAATAAAAGTTTTTGAAATTTTCGTTTGTTGTAAGATATTTCACTGTAGAATGCGTACCACACTTTGGTAAACACTGTTGCAGACGATGAATAAATTCACTACACTGACAGGATAGCATGCATATTTAAAATAATTTTCGAAACAAAAATGCTGAGACACATAAGGACTGTCATTCTATTACACGCATAACAGTATTTCTAGCTTTTCCATTTAATTTAATCCGTAATTTACATTTAATTATCCAATATTTTTCCGAATAAATATATCGAATTATTCACTCAATTTACTCAACAAATCAATTAAACAGTTATCTAATAATTCATTGTAGCAAATGTCAAATACTATATCCAGATATTCTTCCCTAACTGCTAACACATTAGCGTAAATATCCATATCCCTCATATGTTTCCTAAAACTTTGTCATGCCCTTTGGGTTTTAATATTTCAAAAAATTAATAATAATAAAAAAAATTTAAAAATATGTTTTTATGGACTTAGCATAATGGGCTTGACTTTCAATAAAGCCTATTCTGATAAATCGCTAATAATGGATAAGATTTTGTAATGAAAATTTTGTAAGAGATTGTAAGATGATCGATTTATCCAGAGATGTATTTTTTAAATTATTTTTGTTCATATCTTTACTGCTATCTTTATTGTATTCACAACACTTTGTATAAAAATAATTTTTTTAAAAAAATTATAGTCAATATGAAATAATAATAATTTAAGAAATAAATAAATAAATAAATTACAAACAATTTATAAATATTTTTTTATTTAACCAGTGATTAGGAAATATACTTTCCAGATGTCACGCAATGTAACTGGAAAGTAGAAAATGGTGGAAGATAGATAAAATGGTGGATAAAAATGTGTTAAAGCAACAATATTTTTAATGACACCACCAATCGAGGTAATTATACAGTTGAGTAGGGTAGATCGCATGTAGAAACGATAGCAAAAATAGTTCATGGATGTTAAATCAATGGATTTCACTGCATCTCAGGGATTGAGTAAAAATACTGAATTATGTCGAAAATATATGATCACTGAATTGACGCAGTAGAATTATTTTTCAGATGCAATTTAAAGCTTCAGTGCTTAAAATATGAATGCTGTCTTATTTTGAAAGTCTATCAATAAAATATGATGGAGTTTCTAAATTAAATGGTACAAAAAAAATTTTTTTTGACTTTGAAATAACTAAATGCTTTTGTCTTTTGGTATTTTTAAAATATTTAAATATTGTAAAGCCTTGATAACGCCTTTAAAATAATTCAATTCTCAGTCACAACTTACTTTGTATTTTAATAGTGCAATAAAAATTATTCCAAATTTTTAAATTCATTATTATGTCTACCGTTAACAGAATTTAACATTGCCCCACACTGCAAAAAATTCCGTATCAAATTCCGGTATAAAGTACCGGCACTCTTTGGGTGCATCACCCGCGAAATCTATTTTACCGTAAAACATTATATCGCAATTTTCGCAGTAATATTTATTTATATAGTGATTTTAAGGTAATTATCAGTGTAAAAATTACGGTTTATGAGGTTTTTGTTTGCGTAAAATGCTTCGGTAAAAACGGATTTTGCAGTAAAAAGTAACGGCACCTGAGTGACGGTGTTTTTATTGTTATTTGACCCGGATTTTGACCCATGTGACCGAAACGAAATATTATTTTTTATGTTGATTTTGAGCGTTCCAACTACAACCTATTAGATTCGGTATAATTTAAATAACAGTGACAAAGAGACTAAAATTTTCACAGAATCGTAGCTACCTTGAATGAGATGATTAATAGACTTCAAATCGCAGTAAGAACTTCATTCCCGCCACAATGTTTGGAAATAAACTCATGATTTCCACATTTTATTTATGTGGCGTAAATAATGTGATGAGCAATAAAACAAAAAGAGGAAATAAAGCAATAACTCCCGGTGGAAGCGAAAATATATTTGAAAAATGAGCAACAAGCGAATCACGATTCTTCATATATATAAACGGAATAAAAAAGACAGACGATGTCACTGGAAGAAAAAAAATTCATCGTAGAACAAAAAGATTTCTTGTTAAAGCGTAAAAGCGGATTATCTCGAACTGCTGGACAAACTAATAACGGAAGCTGGCGATAGCCAAAGTTCTGAAAAAGAATATCGACAAAAAAAAAAGGAGAAAGAACGAGAACACAGGAGAAGTTGAAGTTCTATTGATGATTAGCGAAAAAAGAACCGAATTGCTTATTGATTTGTAGGTTGAGATTTATTGTCTGTCATGGGTATTCTTTCACTATATTATTTTCTGCTTTGATTATATTTACACATTAGTGTCAACGTTCTTTATTTAGAAGGTGCTGCGCAAATGTGAGTCACAGTATTTATCAAAAATAATTGCTGTGTTTGACATCTTTAATTTGAAAATCCTCACAATATTTCATGTTTTCATGAAGGTAGAAAATAATACGAAAGCTCATAAGCTTTTATGAAAAAACAAGAAAAAATTTTATTTATATTCGAATAAATACTTCATTAAATTTGTTTATACATATTGTCAATTTCAAATATTTAACAAACCGATACCTTGCCTTATTTTCTGTTGTTCCTTCTTAATTAAATATTTATGCATCAAATATGAAATAATAAAAAAATAAAGAAGGAAAAGAATCAAATA